CCCCTTAAGATGTCTTCGCGTACCCCAGGTTGAATACCACTTTCCTAGACCAGTAGAACGAAATATATGCTAGAGAAATGACAGTAACTTCAAGACTGGAGTAGATTAATTCACGAAACGACAAATACGAATATAAAATGTGAACTTTCCAGCATAATGGATGAAGCACAGTCGCAGAGCTTTCCAGAATCATTGAACTTACGGAGATGTAGAATCACAGTCGGCCACACCAACAGAAGAAACAGGGTAGCCAATCTTTCTTCCATGGTCACCATCTGGTCTGTTGTCTTCGACATCCAGAACGCAAATGAGAATTAATTCTCGAAGGACAAACGCCCTTGACGTTCCTGTGTCTTGAATAGACGAGAAGGTCGCCTCTTTCACCGTCGTATTGTTGTGTCATCACTGATCGGTTCAGTGCCAAAAGCAATATTTACGTGGGGGAGACAATCAATCAGACATCGATTATTCAAAACTGTTCGCCCTCGTTTTCGGGTCACGTGGCCATTGAAGTCGTAGTTAGCAACTGTAACCGTGGAGACGTTTTGTGACTCTTAAATACAGTTACTTCGAGGATAATGTACACTGGGATTACCGAATCTACGCGGAACACGACAGATTTTTGTTATTTTAAGATACTTTCCCTGTGTTGAGCCCTATTGACTATGGAAACTCAGAAAAAAATCTCTGCTATGAATTTTGCGAAGGAATTGGGAGGCCCTGTTCTAATTTACTTTGTCGTTTCAACTCAATTCTGAGACCAAATAAGACCGTTCCTTAGAATCTGCGAACAATGTACTCGTTACAGGGCCACAGGATAACTTCGAGTAGATGTATCGATTATCGCCATGATTTTGTATTCAGATCGAATGAATTACGTGATTAGCTACACCTTAAATTCTAAATTAATCGAGATTTCAACTTCTCAAGGCAACAGCTGTGAAGATGGCTGGTGGTTGCCACATTCACTTACTGCCTACGTCATTGGTATGGTGAGGATTGAGGCAGCAAGGACCTCTGAAACGTCTTCACGGCGAAGCAACCCAGAGGGCAGCCATATTTATTCTGTTTTGTTGTGGGGGTGAGTGAAATTCGGAAAATATGTAATTTTTAACACCGTTCCCCAGGGACTAGAAAGGAGACGACGTCAAAATTGTGTCCTCCACCCTAAACCCTGCAAACGACACCAATTCTGTCTGAAAGGAAACTGTTTTTGAATGGTAAGGATTTGCTGACGAAATTTACGACTCTGCAGCAGTCCCTGGACCACTGTTTGAGAAACACTGCGTACGGAATTTCTTATCGTGCTACGCCACTGACCGCAAGTTGAATACGCACAGAATACGGAGTGCGTCATCATCAGCGGTGATCATTGTACCAAAAGCAGAGAGCTGGCCGGATGTGACAGACATACGAAGGCTGTGTTGAGACGTGTCCATGGATACCAAATTGTTTTCTTGAAGGACGCGGGTCTTGCAGACGTGTTACCAGGAAATAGTCCATCATTAATCATCACTCGCTGTCACTAATGACTTGGGATGTGTGTCAGTATATTGACAAGCCTGGAAGATGGAGGACCTCGGTTCAGTTCGCGGCTAGAGCATACAATTCTCTCTTAGCCTCTGCGTACACACCGGGTCTGGACCATCCGTGATGCTACCGAATACATGTCTGCTGTTTCCCCCGTAGTTAAGATGGCCGGAGCGTAAAACTGACACCTCCATCTCGTGGCGAGATTAAGAATTTGTGCCTCAACTCCGCCATCTATCTTCCTGAGTATGATAACGTTGCTTGTTTAACACCAGGGGCTAATTTACCTTCTGTTTGTTGGCAAGCTCGATGGAAACTGACAACGAGTAGCTGTGAGGGAAGTGCCAGGACCAAACAGAGATGGCGTGGCAGTAGCCTGCAGAAAACTGAGATTCATTGTTCGTACTCTTCAGCAAATTATTATGTCGTCGCATGAAACGGGGTAGGATGAACGGATGGGAGAAATGATAAATACGCACACAATTTTGGTGGAAAGCCTTTCGGGAAGAGACCACTCGGAAGATGAGAGGATAATATTAAAATGAATCTTTCCGAAATAAGGTGTGTGGACTAGATTTATATGGCTCAGGATAGGGACAAGTTGCAGACTGTTCTGAACACAGTAATAAACCCTCGGGTTTCATAAAGGACGGGCAATATCATGACTAGCTGAGCGTAGCCAGCTTGTTCGAGTCCGTTAGTCGTTTGTATCGGTAATGCGGTTTGTTTTCTTGGAGTTACGTGATTTTTGTCCTTTGGGGTGTTAATAAATAATCACGAGGTTATTTTGGATTGTTTTTATCAACAATTATCGTGTAAGAACATTACCATGGCAACGGTTGTAACAACACGCACAATCATAATTATTATTACGTAAGACCGGGAGTCCCTCAAAGGCGTCACAACCCAGAATACTTCAATCCACAGAATTTCTCTCGCACTGATTATCTCTGGATGGATTCGGTCACTGCACACTACACTTTCGGGGTGTTGCCAAAGTGTTCAACTGTCAGCGTGCCCTGGCCCTGAGAACCTTCCTGGTTGTTGTACGTGCTGCTGACGAGGACCCCGCTGCTTTGTCCGGGTCCCCCTGACTGGCTTGAGACGACGTACCCACCTCCCGAGAAAGGGGCGGACCCTTGGGGCCGTATCGGGGCGTACGAAGATGCAGGACGAAACCCCGGAGACGACGTGATGTTGGCACAGTTCAAGACTCTGTCCAAGGACACGATCTTCTGCTTCAGGAGTTTGATTTCGCCTTCCAGGCGAGCGACTCTGTTGACAAGTAATCCGTAATTCCCAGTGCCGTAGATCGGTTGAACAAATGATGGGAAGTTGAAACTTGGGAACGTGGGGAATAACGGGAAAGGAGAGCCGATCGGGTCGCTGGCTTCGATCTCCGGGTGAGATGCCGTCTGACGGGGCAGCCACTGTCTCCTTGACGGGGCGTACGCTGGCTTGTCTAGGACATTTATGTCATTCGACGTCAGCCATGTCGGTTTCTTACTCGCCTCTGGAAAATCATCTGAAATTCAGTAATGATAACCGGAAGATGTTACTAGTGCGTAATATTATGATTACAAAAATAGAACAAATCATGTACGTCTAGAGATTCTGATGTAAATTTGTCTTTTGGGGTAAATTACGCGTGTATATGCTGTGTTCTTGGCCGAGTCGATTCTACATTCGACTCTTGTAAAAGCAATTAGAATCGAGGATGCCATGTCGATTGTTGTATTTCTGTGCCGCGTTTATACATACCATGCTAAAATTCTCGTCCTGAACTACCGTCAGTGTGTCGTGGTTTGAAGGAACTGTTGATAAGCGTGTGGCTTACACAGATCAGCCATTAGACTTACCTATTTTCGAAGTTCCTTGTGCTGCTATCACAGAAAGACATGTTACAGTTACAACAATCAACATGTTTATGGTGTCACCCGGACTGGGAGAATCCATTATTTATACTTGAACCCGGTATGAAACATATTTCTATCTAAATTCATCGCATTAAGAATTATCGGGAAGTTGCGTGATTCTACTGTTCATTAGTGGCGTGATGCTTTTGTTTCGTGTTGTTCTAACGATCAGTTCGAGAGGTCGAAGTTATCTGTGTTGCAACGAGCTTGTCATTTGTTTCCGTTCGATACATTAGGATCTATCGAATTGAGATAAAAACATTAATTTTCAACAAGAGTGAGAATGTTAATTGTTGCTGGACGGAATCTGTCCTCAACCAAAATCACATTTTCATCAACAATGAACCAGCGTGAAATGAAACGCGCATGAATGTGTTGGAACACATTATTACCCCAGATCTGAGTGTACACACTTTTCAGTCACGTCGCTTTAGGTAATTAACATTCTGTGACTTCTTCGCAGTTGATAAACGTAAAGTACGTCATATATTATGGGAGGAAACTTTACAAAGTCTTGAACCGAATCATTGGCGTGGTCTGCAGGGTCCGCAGATGGTACAAATAACAATTGAAAACTAGTTATTTACATTGAAGTTACCTTTGTTTGATTAATCTATTGATGATTGTTTAATATTTCTTTATTTCATCTTACATATTGGAACACATGAGTAAACATGTTGTGACGTAAGATCCGGAGAAGTTGCGGTGAACTGCAACCACACTTTGGTCAGCTGCAACCACAAGTTGCATCCTGTAAGACAAGCCCATCCGAGTTGCAGTTAGCAGGGAAAACCTTAGAAGGATATTGGGAAATCCAAGGCGTACGTGTCTTGAGGACATGAGTTGTGACAGAGGAAATGACGTGCCAGTGAAGACACCAAATCGGACATCTTCTTTTATAAAATATTGTTTGAAATTAGGGTGTGGACAACTAATCAGAATTCATGTATTAAATGTTGCTTTTTATAAAATATTGTTTGGAATTAGGGTGTGGACAACCAATCAGAATTCATGTATTAAATGTTGCTTGTCATGTGATGCCTGATGAAACACATATTTAAGGGATACTTTTTGGAAATTAGTTATTCTCTTCAGTGCGTAGAGACTGTGATAAAACGAACCTTGGTCAGAGGGGAGGTCGTCGTGTTCGTCCTACCATTTCACTGACATGGAAACTCATAGAGTTGAGCTGATATGGGTGTTTCTGCTGGCATACTCATGTAAGTAAAGAACTGAATAATCTTACGAGCCACACAGTAATAAAGCATAATGTAGTACAGAAGGTGACTGATTAATTGTCAAGTATAGGAATGATTTAAAGTATATAAAAGTTGTTATATTCACTTATCGATGTATTTGATTTATTTTCTTGAATTAATTGTTTAAAATATATTTATGTTAAAACCATGTTGTGATTGATTGGGTTACTTTGGGGAATAAGTTACCTATGGTTAGGTAGGGTAGGCACCTGTCTGTGTCCCCATCCTCCGGCCATAACAGTGGCGTTGAATCCATACGCGATAAGATAATGTTAAGAATATATAAGCCGCGATGTACTTCGCAGGATGTAAGACTTGAGGTTCTCACAGCGGTGAGTATGAAGATTTCTGTCTTCTGGGTTATTGCGCTGTGTAGTCTGGTCGATGTTAACCAACGTTTCAGAGGTCATACTGCCTCCATCATCAGAGTATGAAGATTTCTGTCTTCTGGGTTGTTGCGCTGTGTAGTCTGGTCGATGTTTACCAACGTTTCAGAGGTCATACTGCCTCCGTCATCAGGGCGATGAAGATTTCTGTCTTCTGGGTTGATGCGCTGTGTAGTCTGCAGGAATTTCCTGTAACAATTCCAGTACTGCACTGCTCTGCTTTCGAGGTGCTTCATTTCAAAAACAGTTTAAAGTCAGGTTACGAAAATATTCACTGGTTAATTTTATACATTGTAAGTGACATTTTATGTTTTTATGTTTACCAAAACTTATTTCATTTGTTTCAATGCTTAAGCATAACTAACATTTATGAAACGTCACAGATAAGTTGAATTAAGAAACGAAAGTTCGGCGAAGGTATATCTGCCGACGTTATTAAAGATAGAAGGGGTTTCTGTTCTTGAGCATAACTTTTGGTTCACATGTAGGAGGGTTTAAGACATTTCATTTTCTTTTTGATTTTAGAACTATATTGAGCAACGTCACATAATACTTGCATTTGTTTGATGTGAAACGCAGGAAATGATTTGGTCAGTTCAGTTGTACACATAGCGCAAAGTCTGTTTCGTGGTCTAGTTAATTTTGTTTTTCTAACTACGTTAGTCGTAGAGCGTCGAATGAAGAATTGGATCGAATGACATTTTGGGAAGGTTCTGAAAGAAAGCCTTCGTGGTATATTGAAAAATAAATTAAGTGGATCCTTACGCTATTTTGTTTTTAAATTGTCCATTGTTAAATCATAATAATGCAACAATGACAATAATTTATTTATACTTCGGATTAATATGTAAGAGTATACTGAGAGTATGCTAAAAGGTAAATTCATGAAATCCAAGTTGGTACATACTTGAGTTTGAACTCGGGACCCCTGGAATGTGAAGTATAAAATTTCACCCAATTTTATTGAGTTTGGTTAGAAACTGGTCCTCACCAAACTTTTCATCTGTTTATATCGAATAAAATAGGCGTTAATAGAATAATTTGCTGTGTCTTTAGTGCAGATCGGAGTGTGTTCCATACACCACAATATCTCGCATTTTATGTATGAGTTGTGTAAAATGTAATTCTTTCTGCAGTTTTTCGTAATTCTTGGAATCCAACTCGAAGATGTTTGGAGACACGAGAGAAATCCCTGCAGAAATTGAGATGTCTTCGTTTATGGAGAGACCTGGCAATTCTTCTGAAACCGTAAGCTATTTGGAGGTTTTGATTGAGGAAGGAAGAGTGGAGGAACTGGAGAGATATCTATCGCAGCATCCTGGATGCATCAATGTGCCTTGTGACTACTTTGATAACACACCTCTCCATTTAGCCGCTGAGTCTGGTCGAGCAGAATGTGTCCAACTGCTTCTGAATCTAGGCGCTAGAACAGATGTGAAAAATGCGGACTCCGACACGCCCCTTCATTTAGCAGCAATGTTAAAATCATCAGAATGCCTGAAAATTTTGCTGGAAGCAGAAGATATAATTTGGCAGAAAAACATGTTCAAATGTACACCGCTCCACCGTGCTGCTCGAGCGGGCTGTGCCGATTCTGTCAAGTTATTGATAGGACACATATCTCGCACAGAGTCACTGAATATTGAAGATGCAGTTAATAAACCAGATTTGTGTGGGCGGACTCCGCTTCATTTTTCTGCTATGTCACGTTCATTGGACTGTGTTAAGCTGCTTGTTGCAAACGAATCCTCTTTGTCACCAGCCGATGAATACGGCAATACTCCTTTGCATTATGCAGCCATGTCGGGGTCACCCGATATTGTCAAATACTTAATTGTGTGTGGGGCAGATTTCCTTTTGGAAAACAAAGACAAATTAAGGGCGCTCGATATGGTTCTGAAACATGTACAAGCCGGCGAAGATCTCATGAAAGAGGCTTTTGATGAATGTGTCACATATATCGGCTTCGGAGACATTGAAATCAGTCTGAAAATACTTTGTCCTGGGAATAGGAACAAAATTGCCGTAGCCAACACACTGTACACATGTCACAAACATAAGAAGGAGCTACTTCTTCATCCCTTGTTGGCGTCATTCATCCTTTTCGAGTGGCACAAGAATAGGAAATTCATCTGGTACCGGTTTCTGGTTTATCTCCTCTACTTGTTCGTACTGACAATTTTCGTGTCCGTGTCTGCGAATTATAAAGCACGGGCGCCATTGCGGGCTATAACAGGTCTTCTTTCTGTTCACGTCATTTTATTCTGTCTCCTTTATCTTCTGTCCTCGCAGTATACGTGGTATGAACGAGTCTACAAAATCCTCCTGACTGCAGGCCCTCCGATCCTGACCCTGGTGTCGGTCTGTATCCCTTACAATTCAGAATGGTGTGGACTGGCCATCCTGTTTTCATGGCTGTCTGCCCCTCTGTACTTTAGTACGATCCAAATAATAAGTCAGCAAATGGAAATGTTTAGATTCGTTACCAAGGAGATATTTAAACATTCCCTGGCTCTCTCATTTGTTCTATTTGGATTCTCAATAACATTTTTTGTTCTGTATCGCGATACAGACGACAATTTCAGAAACTTGTGGTACTCGTTTCTGTATACAACGCTGGTACTTCTTCAAGGAGAAGATATCGGAAATTTTGCATATGGAGGAAACGGTACTGCCAACTCTACGCATGGTGAATGGTACACGCCTTCCTTTACCGAAAATATAATGCACATGGGATTCGCAGGTATCACAGCATCTCTTTTGTTTGTGTTTTTAGTTACAATAGCTTTGTTGAATATATTGGTAGCACTGGCTGTTAAGGGTGGCGATGAACTCAAGGAATATGGGAAGGTGTACCACCTGTGGTGTGAGGTACAACTGCTTTATGACTGGCATGAGGTGAAGAGGTTCTTTAGAAAAGATTACATTAAACGAACTTGCAACGATTTCCGTCATCAAGATTTCTTCTTTGTCAGAGAGGGAGACGTCACGACAATCTCCATGATCAAGGTTTCTTCTTTGTCAGAGAGGGAGACGTCCCCATGTCGCTGTTACATGAACTGAGAACCGTGGCGGTGTATAAAGGCAGAAAGAAAGAGTTGGAACTTAAAGTGGATAAAATGGCGGAAAACCTGACGAAATTTATGCTCAAGATAGAAAGTTTGACGAAGGAATTGAAGAAGGAATAATACGTGCTCTTCTTCTGTGTTGTAACGCCGTGTGAGCTTTGTAGGTAGGCACCAACGTGCAAATCTCTCTTAATCCCCCCAATATTTTTATCATCATATTCATCACGAAGCCTTAGGCATCGTGGAAGAATTGTTTTGGGCATAAAATGGGGATGAATGTTTAATGAGTTATGCACAGAAAAACATAAAGCTTGTAGGTCTTTGTGTTTTTAGGACTACTCGTTAATATTGTTGGGTTTTAAGGGAAATTGTAAAGTGACGAGAAATTTTAAGTAAAACTCACCTGTACCGAGTTTAATGAAAATCCGTCAAGCGTTTCCAGGTTTCTGAAATGTTCGTGGTTGCACACTGTCATGTGATGTGTGTGTGTGTTGAGTGAGTGTGCTGTATTTTGTTGTAAAATGATTGTAAAATGTAAGTAAACTGAATAAATAAATGATTGTTTGCACACAGAATAATAAACGAATATGATAATTATTTTTACGTCTGTTAGTTTTCGTCTTATAAATTACTGGAACATGTGCCACTTCATGCACAGAGGCAAGTTTCCTTGCAACGGAAAGTTATTGAATGCTAAAGCAGCCCATAGTACATACAACATGATGGATGAGTAACGCATAACCATATCTAAAGAGCAGTTATCTTTTCCTTGACATCCTCACCGCTGTGATAACAGCAAATTTTACATAATCTTTCAGGGTTATTTGTATCTTATCGTTTCGTTCAGTGACAGCCATGCTCAGGACGCGACTTGCAATCGCTGTAGACAAGTTAAGCTGACTTAGGTGTGATTATTCACCTTTAAACTTAATCCGTGTTGATTCAGAACTCAAAAATGTGTCAGCTGATAAACATCGGCTGCTTCATAAAGAAGTAATTGTTACTTTATGTTAAACAGTGCTCGATTATTTTGTGTTTTGAGTACAGTAAAGAGAGAAAAAAGAAGATAAGGCAAAATGCAAGCCGATAAATCAATTGTGCAGAAAACATTTTCTATCCAAACGTAGTTATTGTAAATTTACCGAATTCGCATATTTAGAAGCATTAACAGGTCGACATATCGATCACACATATCCCCACTATAAAAATAAATAAGTTGTGTGTAATGTACAAACTACAAACACTTCCACGTAACTAACTTCATGTTTGTGGCCAGTAACCTTAGCAACAGTACGCGCGATCACAGTCTTTTGTTTCACGAAGGAGTTGTCTGAACACGAAGAACGTTTATAACTCAAATTTTAAAGAAGTGGCGATGTTGCTAATTAATAGTAATTTATATTAGACGAGAAGATATTAGTGTTTTTGTTAAGTCACAATGGATACCTCGAGCAAGAGTTTAAAAATTAAAGGTCACATTTTACACGTTCTCATATAGGATTACTGTTATTTTATCAAAATTAATTTGTTAGAAAGTTAGGGGGTATAAAACCCACGGACACATGTAAGATGTTACGCATTTCAGACATCAGAAATGCCCACAGATGTCTAATCACTAAGTCATTTAGTGCAGTGGTTCGCAAATTCTTTTAGTCTGAGACTCCCTTGATGCAAATATAAAAAGAATAATGTCTCCAACCTATAAAATCAATTCAAATTTGATTTGACGGTGTCAGAAAATAATTACTAATGAACCATAATTATCATTTGTATTAAATTATTCTATATTGACCTGCGGGAGTGTTTCATTTAAAAAAAAATTAGCTAATAAATTTTTTCCCGTCGAGAATGACGGAAAAATTTAAGGCTCAAATCTACCCCCCCAACCCCCCTCGGTGAAAATGTTTCCAGTTATTAATTTCATTTGTCTCGTTAAGTAAGAGTTGTCGTCAGTTTTATTTCTCTTTCGGGAACGACTTTGTTTCTGTATTTAACTAATTTCCTTTCCGCATTTCACCCTGTCCCTCGACCTTTCACTTCTATCCCCCACCTCCCCACTT